TACCAAGGACTCAAGTAGAAAGCAAATGTTTTGAGAATGATGTTGGCAACAAATGTATAAATGTGCTTGACACAATGGATGCATGTATGGATTGTGATAAGAGTTTGTATGAGCCCCCAGTAAAATGATTTTTTTTAAATGTATGAACATTTAGATAAAAGTTAACCGACATTTTTTCTAATGAAACTTGAACACAAAATAATGACTAGGAAGAGGTAGAACTGGGATTTTTTCTTTTTCTTTAGATGATTTCATTAGTTGATTTCTACTACAATATCCACAGCCCAGTTGTACAATGTATATCTCTAATTCCTACCTTCATTTTGGATCTTATAAGTGCCCAAACTTACTGGCCTATGTGGTAGTTACATAACTTCATGTCAACGTGAGGCTGTGAAAGTGTAGGGGTGGTACTCAACCTGTCAATCAGGTCACAGCCTAATGATGCCTCATTGTGGGCGTGGCCTTCTCATAAGGCGATCCCGGGGAACCTTCCCCTCTTTGCTTTCACCTTCTTGCTTGCTGACCCAGATGGCTACTGAAGTCCTGCTATGTTTCCACCGATCTCAGATCCACACACTTTGCACTCACACAGCACGCATTGTGATCTTCCTGCATCCTGCATCATTGCATGTGGTTGTGTAAGTCTGAAGAGGAACTTATGGCCTAGTATCGGATTTATAGATGGGCTAGGCTGAACTGGAATGTTTTCTTGATACATAATTCCTTCTGAATTTAAAGTTCTTTCTTACAGATTTATGAATGTCACTGGGTTACTTTCTCTAGTCAGTGTGGTATAACACAGCTTACCCTTCCTTTTTCAGAAAAAAATTACTCAGTACCCACCTGGCAATTTAAACTTTTGTACTATAGCCCACAATCCAGGATAAAGTGTAGGTATCTGCGTTGGTAGCCCCCTTGGATCATTCCCCCATGAGTGATAAGTCACCCACTTTGGGAAACACTGGTTTAGATCAGCCAACACCATAAATAGAGAACTTCCTTCCTCAATCCATCTTACAGTTTTTCTTCTACACAGCCAATCAAATCTAGCATCTTGTTGAAATTGTGTGTTTCAACCTTAACCCCAGGTATAGGTGAAAATGGATGATTCTAAAATGAAAGCATTGCCAGGTCAGCCTCCGTCTGTCTTCTGAATACCACATAGACCTGGCCCACCACCAGGACGCTCACCCTGGACGGGAAAATTGTGTTGCATGAAGCATTGCTGAGACTAATAGAACATTAGTGTTGCGGACACAGAAAGAGGAGGTTGATAAATGTGGGCAAAAATGAATTAGATAGTTCTAATTTTGTTAATTTCATATCAACATTTTAAAACTAAGGACTATTACTAAGTAAGTAAAAGGTTGTCCAAAACCCATACGCATACTGAGGATAAAGGAAAGCCCTGGGGAAAGCTTCAACCTCCACAGCAGTGATAACGGGCTGAGAAACCAGCGGAGAACCCACAAGGAGGCCTGGCCTTCCGAACCACATTCAGGAGAAGGAGCTGATTCTGGATGCCTGGGGCCAAAAGAGTCAATGTCAAGAGCCATGTCGGCATCTGACTTCTCAGCAGCACCGGTGGAAGTCAGAAGACACAGCAGAAATGCTTTTAAAAGACCCTGAGGCCCTCTACGGCTACCAATGATTACAATTAAAATTTCTGGACAGAACCCTCTGTAAAAATGACCCAGAGGGCAGTGCGGTCCCCTGGTTGTTTGTGTTTGTTGTCCTGGAGGTCTGTTGCTCTAGTGCAGCTACTGCTGTTCGTTGTCTCGTTTTCTCTCTCATGTTCCTCTCCCACCTCACACTTCTGTAGTTTTGTGCCACCAAATCGACTCCAGCTCATATAGGACAGAGGAGGAAAACCCCATGGGGCTTCCTGGGATTTTTGTGGAAGCAAACTGCCCTGTCTTTCCCGCACCCAGTGGCTGGCTCTACGTCACTCGCCTTTTGGTCTGCGCTGACTGCTTCACTAACCTTGTACCAACAGGGCTAGGTTTGGGTTTAGGTCAGGAGCCCTTCATCTCAAAAAGACATCTTTGTTTTCAACACATGAAGTCTTTTGCAGTAGATTCACTCAGGGAAATGCTCCCTTGGTTTGAACTGGGAGTTAATTATTAATCCAAGGCAAAACCCAGTTCTTGACAACTTCGATAGTGTCTTCATGTGTCAAGATGTGAGAATTTCTGTCTCCTTTACGCAGATATGTAATCCAGTCTGAAGACTGCAGTCTTTGTTCTTCAACAGTAAGAGCCCCAAGTCCTCCCTGCTGTCAGCAAACGAGGTGTGCCATCCGCACAGTACACATTTTTAATGCGTCTACTTCGAATTTCCACGTTCTTCTTCACAAAGTCCAACCTCTCAGATGATTTGCTCAGCAGACAGACTGAATCTGCACAGCAAAAGGATGCACCTCTAACACACAACTTTCCTGACTGTAAACCACACATTATTCCTGTTATACTTAGGTTCATTTCCTGGAAGATGAGAGTAAAGTATCTAAAGGAAGAAGAGCAGTGTATAATTGATACAACGGTGCTTTGGGGCTAGCCACATTGTTTCTCGACAGTGATAAAGACAGCTAACCAAGCAGTGTCTGCTACATCCTTAGAGAATCTATAGGCAAGCAGCTAAATAGCAAGGTGGCTGCTGGCTGCTAACGGAACGACCAGCATTCCATCTCAAAGCCACCTTGGCTCTGTGGGAGAAGGGTCTTGGTAATCTGCTCCCACGATGATTACTGCCTAAGAAACTCTCCGGGATGTTCTCCTCTTATTACATAATTCATTGGAATTAACTCGACGGCAACGAGTCTGTTTGTTTGTTGTATATAAGTTGGACATGACTCAAGAACAACATCAGGGCAGAAAGAGAAGTAACTGCCATCACACTTGAAAGGGACAAAGCCCCCTTTAGTAAGTCAAAATCCATGACACCAGAGTCTAGACTAGGACCCGCGGTAGAAATGTGAGGCTGGGATTCCCATGAGAAAACCAGGGCACCCAACAAAGAGGGTGGAGATGAAGCGGACTAGCAGGAAAGGGGAAGTGGTCAGAGAGACAGAGCAGTCGGTCAAAGTGGAGCCTTGCTTTGTCACAGGAATCCATGGAAGGGACGAAGGGGGAAACGGAAAACCTCACAAAAACCCTGCAAGCGAGTCAACTGAAACGCTTCTCAGGATGCCATCCTGGGACAGTGCAAGCCAAGGAAAATCCTCCTTAACCCTTTCTCTGCCCTCCTCCTTCCTGGCACCACCAAGCACAGAGACACCAGAAGGTGCTGGTCTGTAGGCCACCCCTCAAGGAGCAGTTTTCTGTAGCACATTCAAAAACCTGTTTTGTTTGGGTGTTTTCCTTCCTGTGAAAGCAAGCTTTTCTGGCTCTGGGCTAGCCTAGAATATCAGACTTCAGAGAAATTCAGGTCCAGAAACAGGCATGCTATTCTGAATCAAATAAACAGTCTCAGTCCTGGCTCCAGTCCTGGAGAGCCCTACCCCCACCGCTCTGCCTCATACTCCCCACCTGCAGTTACCAGTGATATAAAAGGCCAAAAAGGAACAGCTTACCCTTCGCATTTTGCTGATAATGGTTCCAAAATAGACTCATTTGCTGGGATGGTCCTGTAGTGCACAGGAAACAGCCCTCCAATGACAAGAGAGTGGTTTTTGGCATCTACGTATCCGTTCAAATCAAACTTGCCCAGCAACCGACAGGTCTGCTCTTCCTCTTTGTCACTGCTCAGGCCTAAAGAGGCCAGGAAGAAGGCAAGCGATCCAAGGAGCAAGCATGTCTTTCTGCTCGTCATTTTAATAAGGTGAATTTGATGGAGACGATGAGCGTTCAAATTATACCACCTTTTCTGCGGCACCTTGATGCAGTGTCCCCAGCAGTCTGGGTATGCCACCTCCCAGGGGACTCAGCCTGCTACTGCTTGCTGCATAATTGTCACACCTCAATCACAGAGCCTCACACTCACTCACTCCCACACACTTTGCGAATCTCGACTAGGAACCAAATAATCTTTTGGAAAGAACTTCATTAGAATCTCCCTTATGCTTGGCAACATCTAGCCGCATCATAGTGGGCTTTGAGTTTAAGATAGAGTCTTGGCTTCATTTTGTAGAACCAGCCTTGTTGATTCTCACATCAGCCTCCTGACGGGAGCTATGCTTACCTCGAGAGACGAGAAAGGGCATCCCCTGTGTAACACAGTACACATGGCGACCCCAGGCCATGGTCTTTCCTTAGCGGTAGAGAAAGGCTGTGGGTGACAGCCATGGGGTTTGCAACGGTAGGCATGGAGTGTGTGCTCTGCCACTTTGTAGTGTGCTGGAGGGCACGTCATGCATTTCTCTGCGTCACCATTGTATCGTCCATGACCAGAAGGGTCAGAATTTGCCTTAGATGGATTTTTGTGACGCCCACAAGTGCTCAGGAACATCTGTGTGCATCGGCTTCTGCAGGTTCCCCTTCCTGGCGCAGCCCTTGGCGGACTGGCTCCTCGCTGCCTGGCACTGGTTGCAGCAGACTCCGGGGTCCTCCCTATAAGCGCCTCTCCTGGCTTGCTTACTAGACCCGTCTCAGAGCCACTCCCCAAGCTCGGTCTCTCGAACCTCACCATGGATGGCGAACCTCCTGGTCTCTCCCTCGTGGCCTTCTCTCCAGCATGTCCTCTGACAGTACACATTTATGGAGGATTTGCCGAAACACCCGAAGAAAAGGCCCTTTAATTGTGTGATTTTACTCCTAGA